AGTGATTAAGTTTTATAAAATTCTTTGCTCTACTGCATTATGGACTTTCTAGATAGTACAACTGAGACATTGCATTATTTACTTTCGAGATGGTACAATTGAGGCAGCCTCGCCTTAGCATCAACCTCTAGGAGTATAGGGTGTGAGAGATATTCACAAGTGGCGAATCTCACTAATGCGATTTCGATTTAGTGGATTAATCCCCACAAAATAACATTAAAACTTAATTATGATGGGAATATAAACAAAAGCAATATGACGACAAACGAACATATAATTCGACAGCCTATTCATGGAAAGCAAAACTGAATATACAGTACCATATAAGATCTTAAAATATGTTAAACAAATCTTATAAAAACAATATCTAAATATTGTTTAGAGGTATTCAAGAAATTGAATTAATCATTTATAACAAATGGTACGGACTATGGTAGTCATAGTGGTTCTCTAGTGACTCATCAAAGATTGATAAGATTATTTTTTTGATAATAGGATTGATAAGATTATACATAGATTAAAGGGTAAACCTATCAATTCCAACGAAATAATTGAGGAAAAGGAATTTGTTTTTGGTGCTTTACACCAAAATCGAATGCCAAATCACAGCGCAACTCCACACGTGCTCTTCATTTGTTGTTGGTTTTTGTTTTGAATCTTCATCGTCTTTATTTATTATATGTTTTTTTCTCATCACTTTTTATTTCATTATTATTTTTTCTTTACTTCAATATTATGCTTTTGCTCTAAAGTCTAAATAATTGGCTCACTATTTGCGAAGTTTAATTTTATATGTACTTATATGCCAAGTGGGCTAGAAATTTCGTTAGTGCCTTCACGACTGTTTCAATGTTATTGTAAAGGTTAAGGAATCTTGGTTTTATGAATCTCCATCTTAATTTTCAGGTTATCGTACTCCCTTTTGTAGAATTATGAGATAGTTCTTTATTAGCTGTATATTACGATCGTGTTTATAAGTAAAATTCTGATTTTTGAAAATACATTTTCTTAGTCAATGATACACACTTATGTAATCCAATAGAAGATAGATCATCCAGTCAATATTATAAATATAACTGGTTGTTCATTTTATTCTCTGTTTTTGTTTTTGCGCAAACTTCATTTTCTCTTTAAGGTTAGCTTACTTGAGGGTTATATTTTCATTTATTTTTTCTCTATACATATAACTGAAAGACTTTCTTCTAGTGAGTACTGAGTAGTCTTTCCAATCAATGATTAGATATTTTTCTTCTTTTGCGAAAGATTTCTACTTGCATGTTAAATCCCTAATTGTATAGCTGTACGGTAATGAGATGTCATTTGTTTGTTTGTTTGCTGATGCTTTTATGATTGTGAAAGCTCAACCAATTTACACAAAAACTATCTTTATTCCCAAAATAAACCCAACACTTTTGCATGTTTTCAACATTTAATACCAAATTTTTGTTAAATTGTTATATACTGATCACTCATGACGTTCGAATTTGTAGGATTAATCCTCCCCTAATATGCGGCAAGAAGAGATTGAACTCAGTGCTAATAAGCCACGATTTCTTAAGACAAATGTAAAGCTATATAGTTTAGCAACCATGCATTAACATTGAATTTCGAAATATTTCTATAAAATTTTGAGGGTTTAAGCAATTAATTAGACGTACATAGCGGTACAACAGGTGGCATAAACATGTCGATATTTCATACTCAGACGTAATTAGTCAGTTAGCAGACATCTAGTTAATTGGTTAACTGTTGAGTTGGAAGATCTGATTAGTAAGAATTACTGAAGAAGTTCAAAAGATCAGTAAAATCGGTTTAGATTCGATTAGCTCCTTCTAAAACATCGGTATTATCATATGAAAGACCATAAACTTGTTTACAAGAAAATCAATACAAATGTATACAAAGAAAACCGATAAATGTCAATCAAGGAGCAATGAAATGGAGACAATGAAAACGAACAAGGTGCGATAAAGAAACAAAGGTTGGCCTTTTGGCAAATGGAGAACATGTGTCCTCCTTCATTATCATACTATATATCCTCCTTTCTCAACCTTCTCTTCTATTTTTTTCTGTATTTTGTACTCTGAATTATTATTCAGCTTCAATATGAAAAAATATGCAATATTTTTTTTTTTTTTTTATCAATATGGTAGTAGCTAGACTGCTAGAATTTCAAGGGTCCATTTCATTCACGTCTATGTGACTTGTAGCGAATGACTAGCAAGTGTATGAAACGACCTTATTGTTTTTGGTGAAGACATAAGTATATATATGTCCATATCTGAATTTGTTTTCTTTGCTGATTGATTGGCCGAATTGTTCCAAAGACTTAACATCGATCGCCAAGACTTAAATTTTTTTTTATCTTATCTCCATAATCCATTCAATAAAAATATGTTACTGAATATACCTAGAACTTTTTGATATAAATTTGAACATATTATAATTTTTTTTTTCTCGAAAAGCCTTAACTTTATAAAATCTCACTCGTGCATTTTTAGCATTGATTATTTAAATTATAATTTCAGTAATATACTAATATTTATACATATCCAAATTTTAGAAATATTTGACAATTAATGACATGTAGGCGTAGCCTGGTTATCGTTGATATGTCAACACCGAAATTCAAACTCGCTTAACATATAACTGACTTAAAGAGTTTTTAAAAGTTTAATTTGTTTACTTTGATCTTGGGAAGTTCCGATATGCTTCCAACTTTACCGATTTATTCGGTTCTTATCGCCTCTATGCGATTCCTTACTGTTATATGTAGTCTTGTCCCTAGGTTTACTTTAGTGGTGGATATTGTGAAGTCTTTTGTACCGGATTTTTGTGGCAATTTGGTTTGAATCTTTTGGATATGTCTAATCCATTTGTTATTTTTGTTGATTACTCCTTGATGGAGTTTAGTTATCTCCCAAAATTTCTGCTTGCTTTGAGTGGTATTTTTGCAGGGAGTTGGAGTTCGAAAGTTTCAAATACTTCGCTTCGTGTAGGCTCAGTAACTTGGTGCTTTGTCGCTATAGAGTTTCAAACCATTTCTTTGGTTGCTAAATTTGCACTAGCTGCGTTTTCAACTCCGGGTTTAGGATCAATGAAGGTATCCAAGTATTTCCAAGGCACAACATCACTTCTTCTTGTTAGTTTAAATGTTGTTTTTGCCCTTATCCATGTTGTGTTTATTTTCATTCCCGTTTGCAATGCGGTGTTTTTAGCCGGTTTGGCATTGTTGTCTTCTTCTTAGAACAATTTCTCCTTTAATAGAGAGTAACCATTAATGAAAATTGCTAGTTCGTCAAAAAAAAAAAGTTTAATTTGTTTAACAACGTGTCCTTCGAAAGTTTCACATCCGTCTACAAATAATTGTGAATAACTTTATAATTAATTGACTATGTGATATATCGATCCGCACATGCATGTGAAGACGACTTTTGTGATTGTGAAATGTGGTAGGACTGGGCTTATTTGTGAATTGTGATATACGTCACAGGAATGGTATCAATGAACAAAAATTCAAAGACAGCCTATGCTTTCAGTTTAAGTGTGTAGCTTATAAAATAAATCATTTCATTTTGTTCATTTAAAATCTGCAAAGTAAAAATAAAAATTTGGAATTATTCAAAGAATAATCAATATTGTAGAAACATGATGCTTATACTAATTATTGTAAAATATAGTATATGCTTTTATGTCTAAGCACTACAATATGAGAGTTTATAAAACGACACATTAAGCACTAATTACAGAGTTAGTATGATCACTTATTCAGAAAATTACGTTACCAAAAAGAAAGAGGATTGTTTTGTGTGTGTGTAAATCTTAGGAGGAGAAGAAGAAGAACTATGAGAGCTACAGATGAAACTGTGTAGAAGTTATGATGGCGTTTTCTTTTAACCAAAACAAAACAACAACAGTTTTTCATAGTACTTTGGAAACTGTTAGTTGCATGTGAATTTCGAAATATTTTCATTTTTTTTTATATAATCAAAATCACATATGAAAAAGATGCAAAAAAAATATATAATGAGAGAAGTCCAATCCGTAACATGAAATATCCTCGGACACTAAATTTCTAATCTTACGACTACTCTCACGAACCAACCTTTTACCTAACTAGTGACTTTGAGCTTCCTTTCACACAATCAGGATCATTGAAATTTGTACGTTGTTAACTTATCTTTCATCTAAACAAGTATAAACGTAAAATCATTGAAATTTCAAAGTTTTTCACTTATCTTTCACTTAATTAAGTATACACGTGAATAACACTAGATATCCGAGTAGTAATTTATTACAAAATAGTTTTTAGTAGCAATAGTTAGAGCAAAGGCATCGGAGATCCGGAGAGACGAGGCACACTCTCAAAACTTACTTTTTGCTTTAAAAAAAATGAAAAATGAAAAAGAAAAAGCTGACAAACAATATTACGTCACTTGTCCAGTTTTATTCTAGAGACACTTCTAAATCTCTTCCCATAGAGACGTATCTGAGCATTAATTTTGCCACATAAATAACTTTTTGATTTGTTTTTATTTTATTTTTGTTTGAGAGACGATGAAAATCACTGTAATGCATTTGCTCTTAGTTGTTAGTCAATCTAATGTTTGGTGGAATAAAGTTCAGCGACAAATAATGAAATCAACATATAATAATGGTCTGATTAGTTGTGACTTAGCTTTGAATTTTTTGGTAGAATTTTTTGCTGTATAATTGTAGATTTTAGTGCTGTGAGATTTTTTTATTGTAGATTGTGGCATTAAATACAGCATTAAAAAAAAAAGATATAGAAATAATATATTAAAAAATAAATGTTGAAAACATAATAAGGAAATAGAAAAAAAAAATTCTAAGAGCACTTAATTTTATGCTCTAGAAAAATTTATTTTCAAAGCCACAGAATTTCTATAAACAAAAAAAAATTGCTCTGTGTTTCAAAAATGGAAAAAGATGAAATAAGAGCTTGATTGGTGATTTTGAATTACCGTGAAATATTACATATGTGGCCAGCCCAACTTCCAGAATCGACTCTCCCGGAAGCAGCGCAAAACCGTTTCTTCCGGCCACGTGTCAGCCCCAGAACGAGCCGCAATTTTTTTTTTCCGCTTTCCTCTTTCTTCATCTTCTTCTCGTCAAATTCTTCTTCCGATTTTCCTGGATGTATCTCGTCCAATTGATTTTGGTTTTAGTGGATCGTTTTCATCGTTAGTTTTTGTTTCTCCAATACTGATTTGTGATTTCGGATCTGTGTAAACCTTCTCTTTTCCGTCACCGCAAATGCAATTACAGTTTTGGATGATTTTATTGTTCTTCTTTATTTTCTGCTATTAAAGCGAAGCAATTGAGAAGAGTTTATAGTCTTTTGTGGTTTGGATCTGTGGGTATTTGCTGCGTCATGATTTATGTAGTATTTGTCATAAGAAGATTGTGTGTTCATGATGTGTTGGTGTTGTTTAACAACAAATTGCAAATCGATTCAACACTCATATGAAATTCTTCTGTGTGTTTTTGGTTCTCTGTATCAGGAGTTGAAACAGTGAGAGCAGATCCTGTTACGAGCAAGCTGACTCTGATTGGATTCATGGACCCAATGAAGACTACAGAGAAACTGCAGAGGAAGAGCAAGAAGACGATTGAACTCATATCTCCAAAACCAAAGAAAGAAGCTAAAGTAAACAATGAAGCAATGGCTGATACTAAAACTGTGACTATGGTAAGCTCCGAATTCAGCTTCGAACTCATTCATTGCATGCATTTACACTGGATTTGATTGTAAAACATGTCTCTCGCAACTAATCAGAACCATGGTATCAAGAAGTAGACTCATCTCAGACTTACTCTAATTTGTATGTTTGATATTTTTGTGTGTGTTTATACACACTCTAATTTGCTTGTAAAATTTCATGAATAGGATTTGGTTACCTTTACGATATAACCGTTAATGCTAATTGCTTTGATAAATCAATTTTGTTGCTTACCTAAGAATAAGAGTAAACACATGGAATTGGAACAAAGCTCTTGGAGTGTTGAATCTGGAAAACCAAAATTGTTTTTTGCTCATCTTTAACATTACCTCTAACTTAGTTTTCGTTTTGGTATATGTTTACAGGGAGCAAAGAAACGCTTGCAGATAAGTATAAATATATCATGCACATGAAGCTTTACAAGATCAATGAGCGTGAAGGCAATACTCTTTCAACGTAAGCTTTCAATTTGTTTGACAAAAGTTCGAGTATTTTTTAAACTGATTTGGGTTGTTTGAACATTTGTGATGATTTGGTATTTAGGTCGAAGTTGGAAAGCTTCAGAGCTGCGGCTCAAGTCATGGGATGATCTACAGAAGCTGCAGTACGTTCTTCTGAAAGAGAAAAACATGTTAATGACTCAAAAAGGAAAGGTTCATAAAACACAAAACAATGCTTTGCTACATAAAAAACATATATTTGTTCTTAGTAACCTCCAATGTTTTCTGTGTTATGTGCAGTCCATTCTTACTTGAATGTTTGAACGAGTACTACTTGACAAACGACGACAAGTGTTAACGATGCAACGGAGCTGACCTCTTGACTCGGGTGGCGAAATGGTTTCAGAACGGGAAGAATCTGCGTGTGACTCAACAAGAGCACAACATTCGACCTTTCTCTGTTTTCTTCCCAATCAGCTCACAACAGATAACAAGTAAAAGCTCTCTCTAGCTCTACTAGTTTCGGTCAAAGACTTGCATCATTTTCTTGTTCTACAAGCTTTTAACTTTAAACTTGTCTTGGTTAGCAGCTATTTTTCATTTTCTTTTTCATTCATTTTATATAAATTTAATATTTTCATTTCCTTTCATTTTATAAATACTTTAAAAAAAATCAAAAAAAAAAATATTTTAAAGAAACTCATATGGATATGTGCAATGTTGTGGCATAATTATCAAGTTTCTTCCCAAATTTCTTTAATTAAAATAATAAGATTTTTAATATATTAAATGTTTAAAGCAACCCATATGGATATGTGCATTGCATATGCTCTTAGGAATATATAATATATTTATTATTTTATTTATTGAAGTTAAATTAGGAATATATTTATCTAGATTTTATGTTCCAAAGAGTCACGTACATTCCAGTTTAATTTATATCTATCGAATACAACGTACAGTAAATAGGTCTAAAAGTAAAAACATTATATTTTGATAAAACTCGGTCATGAGAACTAATCCATTTAACTAGATATGCATTAATCCACGTCCACATAGAAAAACACAATGTATAAGCATGCATCTACTCTTAATGTACTAAAATCTACATTTAAGAAGCGCTTGTCCTTTAAAATTACGAAGATGAAGAAAGTTCTCGGAGTTGTGTTTTTCTTGATGGTTTACTTGACGCAGTCGATGGGACTTGTTCCTTATCAAGGTTGTAACGAAGTTGAAGAAAAGAAACTGGAATCAGGTTTGACCGGAGAAGCTTCGAGAGATGATTCGGGAACGTACGGCCAGAAGAGAGTGTCTAAGGAAGATTTTTCGTCGGGTCGTAAGTTAGTTTCTGGTCCCAGTCGTAGTGCTTGTGGTCACTAGTTTTCAAGATCGTATGAATGAGATGCACTTAATTTCTAATAGGTTTTTTTTGTTGAAGAACTTAATTTCTAATAGGTTTTAGAGACTTAATATATATATGTCTTTTAGTTTTTGAGAATAGCGAAAGAAGATAAGTTGTGGTACACACATACACGAGATATTTTTGAAAGAGAAAACACTATCAGATTGGTCTTTTTCGTGTTTCTTCTTCTTCATTGTAGTATTACTTTGAAATTTTAGTTATTGCATTGCGTCTTTTTTGTTCACCACTGTTTCACGAACAACGATGTCGTATACTCGTATTTAATTATATTACGAGTTTGACTAAAGATATGTGGCTTTGTTTTCAAATCATTTCTTTGAAGGGGAGTTGGTAATGTACCTAGATGTTTCTTCTTCCTTTTCTGTCTCTATCATTATAAAATACCAAACTATAGGGCGCTAAATGTAGGGAAACAATAAAGATACATGATTACATTGACTAATAAGAACGCAATTTTTCAAAATCTATCTGAATAGTAGGTAGGTTATATATATATATATGTATATTATATACAGGCATGATGCACGAAAGTTGGTCTATCCAAAATTATTCTTGAGGTTATAGAATAGTGAATAGTTATCTTCCACTTTGTCCCCTTGTTGGTACACATTTTAGTAGGATTCTTCATCTTCCACTAAGTATATATGCAAAAAATAAAAGATAGCATATTTGTAGACTACAACTAAAAAGTGAAAACTATGGTTTAGTGGTGTGTCTCCAACATCAAACAGAAATGAGTATAGAGATCAATTGTAGTCTCCAAGTAAGTAGGCTTGACTAAATTAAGCGAGGCCAACAGAGATATCAGTAGAGATCTAAATTCAGGCCCATTAAACACTTGATGGGCCTAAGTAATAACATTTAGCGCATTTTCTTGTTTTACTCAGACTCCGATCAAATCTCGATCTCTCCTAACATCTCCGATACGGTGGTGCGATCTCTAGAAACTTCTTTCTTCTGCTCCGGTGATGATTTGAATTCGCCTCATTCGATCTTCAATTTCAGAGACGCGATTCGGCAACGAGAAAGATCTGCGGTTAACCTGATTGGAGTGGTACAATGGCGACTGGGATCGTCGGAGGTGGTGGATCGTTGTCGGAGGTACACAGTAATGCGAAAAGGATTCTACTCAGGGCTCGAGACGGAATCGAGAGGTTGGAGAGGTTCGAGTCCGCCGCTCCGATGGATTCTTCCGATCTGGTCTCCTCCGTGAAACGTGACATCACCGAGGTCCAATCTCTCTGCTCCAGCATGGACAGTCTCTGGCGCTCGATCTCTGCTAAATCCCAGCGCGATCTCTGGAGAAGGTGAACAATCCAAGTTTCGAATTATTGATTGATTTATTCTTCTCTCAAATTCAAAATTCAAGAAATTTGAAGTGCATCGCGAAATATCAAAATCACACATTTGAATTTACGAATTCGTCATTTGTGATCAGATATGCCTAAATAGCTCCAAGTTTACACATTTTCATTGATCATTGAGATTGCGCTATATCTCTGAATGCATATTCTCTCTTTGGTTTAACATCAATGTGTTGCTGAATCATTTGGGAGAGATCACAAGAACCATTTGGGTTTGATTGTGTTGCAGAAAGACTGAACAAGTGGGAGAAGAGGCAGAGTATCTAAACCAAAGCCTGGAAAAATACATGTGGAGGAATCAGAAAAAGATGTTGGAGGCCAAAGAGAGAGCGGATTTGTTAGGGAGAAGAAGCGGAGAAGGAGCTCACATTTTGCAAATATTTGACGATGAAGCTCAAGCAATGAACTCTGTCAAGAATTCAAAGAGACTGCTCGAAGATTCGTTTTCCAGTGGAGTCGCTATCCTTTCCAAGTATGCTGAGCAAAGGGATCGTTTAAAGGTAAATCCTAACAAGTCAACAACCAAACCTTGATTCTGCATTAGTACATATGACAAGTCTCATTTTGGTTGTTTTGATTCTCAGGGGGCACAACGTAAAGCTTTGGATGTTTTGAACACCGTAGGGCTATCGAACTCTGTGCTGAGGCTCATTGAGAGGCGTAATCGTGTCGACACATGGATCAAATACGCCGGTATGATCGCAACAATAGTCCTATTGTATCTGTTCATAAAATGGACTCGTTAGGGAACGTCTTGATTACACAACAGATTGTATGTAGAAAGTTATGTGAACTTGTTGTGCGCGGGTAAAAGGATATATTCTGTTTTGGTTTTTACTTATGCTCTCTTACAAGATTTTTCCATTTCCTTTGTGTTGAATCTGCTCTTTCATTGATATATCCTCAATGAGTGATTCTAATGCTACATTTGGTAGTTTAACAAGAGAGAAACAGAGTTTTGTGATGTGTCATGGATTTTGCATTTGGTAAAAAAGTGAGAAGAAAATGCAAGCTTACTATCATTAACCTTGAAATTACAGCTTCTGTTGAAATGTAATCACTTGTGAAATAGTATCAAGACTATGCATACAAATATGTTTATTTCTTTCCTCGATAAAAAAAAAAGTTCGATTTGACACTGAGTCTGTTAGTGAGGTCAACAATCCAATTTGTTCCATTTGTAGATATATTGCGGAGTTGCTCATGATTTGAATTGGGTATCATCTCACTTTTCGTAAGTTTAGGGTTGATTTGTAAACGAATTGAGAGTACGAGGGTCTTTTTATAAATTATTTCAATAAAATTCAGACATCGACACGTGGCAGCGTCGGCTTAAAACGTATGTGGCGTAGACTCGCTCTCTCCCTTCTTCTTCTTTCTCTTCCACCGCTTCACGCGACTCTCTGTTTTCTGTAATTCCTCTGGTTATCATGGCGGAGACTTCTGCGCTTCTCTTCTCTCACCTCACCATCTCCCGCGTTTGGGACACCGCGTCTTCGTCTCCTTCCCGATTCTCGCTTCTTTCCCGCGCTCGGCCGTCTCGATCGGCTCGCTTCTCCGTAAAGGCATCGCATTACGGTAGCTTCTCCGATGACGATGCTTTCGGCTTCTTCCCTTGGTCCGATGGAAACAACGGTAATTTCAATCGTCCAAGTCCTGTGTTTCCTGTGATCTGAAATTTTCTACCTTTACCAATTCAAAATGCGGAATTTTTAATCAAAAGATGTTTGTTGATCATCGTGTAATTTTTGCTGATTCAAACGAATTGCGTTTGTTGCAATTCGTTTTACAGGCATTGAATGGGTTCCTGAAGAAAGAGTAACACTTTTCACTTCCGATGGGCTTGTTCAGATCGGAGGCAACATGGTTCCTCGCCGCATCAAATCATCTCATGTATGCGTTTCATTTCCTGTGATTTTATCCCGCTTGGCCTTTGATTGAACATATTCGCGTGTGTCTTCTGCATTGAATTGCTTAGATAGTCAAAATGTTGAAACTTTGTGTAATGTGACTGAGCCTAAGATTAGTGAAGTAGTTACTCGACCATTTTGCTTCTGATGATTCTCTTATTTAATATTTTCTGGTGGGAATGAGACATATGCTTTGTGACAGAAGAAAAATGGGAGATCCAAATCACCGGAAAGACATCAAAAGTTTCAAGAAAGTTCCTACATGGATCCTGCGCAAGGTCTCTGCCTCGGAGCTCTTTTCGACATTGCAGCTACAAATGTATGTAACTCTCTTCATTTTATGTTTGTTTGGTTAAAGACTAGATACATACACATTTAGTGCACTGTTTGAAAATCTCAGGGACTTGATATGGGAAGAAGACTCTGTATCTTTGGTTTCTGCCGTTCCGTTGAGATGCTTAGTGATGTTGTTGAAGACACTGTCTTAGAACATGGTGGAGAGGTTTGGTTTTTTGTTCTTACTCCTAATCTTTCTCTTAAGATTGTTTCTCACTCAAGTCTAGTGAACTCTGTTGTACTTTGTGTTAAAGATTGTTGCTGCAGAGAAAGAGATTAACGGCGGTTTACAAGAGAAGCTAACAATGAGTGTGGCGGTTCCATATCTCTGGGGAGTTCCTCCGGCGGCAGAAAGGCTTCACCTTGCGGTTCGAACAGGCGGAGGAATCGTAGACAAAGTTTATTGGCAATGGGATTTCTTGTGATTCAGCAGATACTTCTCAAGCAATATGGGTCTCTAACTCACAAAGTGTTTATAAAACATTCATTGTACAGAACCATTTACAGTTGGTACAAATTTCCCGTAAATCCCCTAATTATATCAATCTATTTTATTGATGTTTTCGCTCTATTTTTAGTGTGGACCTTTATATCATCAATCAATTGAAGTGGTTAACTAGAAATCTCGATTTTTTAGACAGAGCTAAAATGTATCTATCTATCTCTTTGTATTTTTTTTGTCAAATTAGACTTTCATAGCAAATTTTCACCAAATGAAGACTTTCATAGCACTTGTTTAATAGTTTATCTTAGTAATTTAGTTGTTGATCCAACAACATTCTTTCAACTAATACTTATCAGTCAATCGATTAGTGTTTCAATGATTTCTTTATTTGTAGCACAATGATAAGCATCTTTCACAGAGAGGCAATGTCCCGCCTTTTGTCAATATCCGCTCCACTCAAAGAAAACATTCTTTCTAACACGATATTTTCTCATTCTCTTAATGGAGTAAACTACAGTCTACATATATGTACTTAAGTGATAATATTAAAATAAATAAATAGCAAGATTCCTTTTTTTTTCTTCTTCTTCTAAATCGTCGGTCAAATAAGAAAACAAACTTTGGCAGAAGAAGCTACTTAATATTGCCTACAAAAATATGCTAAGTAAAATATTGAACCCTGAACTTGGTCCGATCTCTTCATGTAATGTTGCTGATGTGTTGTTAAAAAAACATTGGTTGAATTACATTACAAATCATTTGCTTGCTGTTAGATATGAGTGATATGACATTTATGTTTTCTAATATTTTCTTACGATTTTGGATAAGTTTTAAGACCAACCATAAAAGATATGATTGACCCGTTTCGATGGAAGAACATTATTGAAATACTTTAAAAAGTTGGGATTATAAAAGTTAAGCAGAATGTGATTTGGATTTCTTTCTGTCATCCATATTATTTGAAATCCCCCTATCTCTACATATTATAAATTATGGTGGTGACTGATTAGAACATATATAATCGGTATTTGATCAACGATTGGTTGATTAATTATTCAATATAAACAAAGAGCATGAAAAAAAAAACATTAAAGAAATGCAAATGGGAATAGTTTTCGGATTTGAAATAAGATACAAAGTATGCATGCATGTGTTTTATTTTGTGTTATTAATAATATTTTGAGATTCCCTAATGAGGGTGAGGGGAAGAATACAAAGTAGCATACCAAATATTCTAAAATCATGGTAAAGCAAAATTACAAAGAGCATGTTAAGATATACAGATTAATATAACGTATTGCTGAATAAGTAGCTTATATTTTAGCTTTACAGATATTATGAAGGTGTATATTCTGAGTTATCCGCACCCTTCAAATTCGATTAAAGTTATAACTCATGTTAATTTTAGTACTATACATTATAGTTGACTAATTCACAGAAAGGTTTGTTAATTTACACAAAAAGTAGATAGATTAATAGATTTGTTTTACTGATTTTGGTAAAGGTAGTTATTTGGTAAGCAAACAATCTTGACATCTATAGACGTATACTGTTGATCATCATCACACTGGAACAACCTTGAGACTGACATCCCTTGAATTAACGACGACGATAATAGTGTTGTGTTGCCGTGATGGTGATGAACCAAGCACGATGGACAAACAATCATTTTTTTCTGTTCAATTAAAATGCTTGTAGATAGAAAACGAATTATTGTTAGGCACAACTTTTCTTCATCAGTTAGTTTTTTTTACATACAACAAAATATAAAGTTCTGGTTCATGATAAAAAAATTATCAAATGAAACTCAAGAATCACATTACAAACTCCTCTTACAAAATAAGTTTTAAAAAATTCATTCTTTGTTTTGAAAGAAAGAGGAGAAATAAGGAGATTGAATCAAAGTTGGTAAGAGAGATTAATAGTACATCATGAACTTATCCTCTATCTTATTTTCATCAACCCACAAGCTATTGCTACTACTCGTACAACTAGTATTTATTAATTGCTTGATCTCCTCCATTCCGTAATCTTCAATCAAGACCGAACTCATTGATCTCTCCTCCTCTTCGTGATCATCATGGAGATGATCATGATGCTCCTCCATCTTCACTCTTGTTACTGTACTTGTGCTACTTGACCCACTTCTTACATCACTCAACAACAATATTCCCTTGTTTGTACTTTGCTTCTGGCTGTCTTCTTGATGGCTCATTATGAACTTGTTGCTGTTTGGAGAATTTACCATACTGCCCATGTCTTCTTGATACAATATTTGTTGTTGTTGGCCCATCATTGTCATCATCATCCCCTCATGTGGTGTGAGCATCTGGTTTGCTGATATTGATGGGTTATATGGAAGAAGATTATTGATCATGTTGTAATGTGATGATGATGATGATGGTGGTGATGATGAAGCAATGGCTAAGAGGTGATGCGGTGGAGGAGGAGCCATGGAAGCAATGAGCTTCTTCTTGAGCTTAGTGTTCCAATAGTTCTTAATGTCATTATCAGTCCTACCATGCAGGTGAGCTGCTATTACTGACCACCTGCATTTTCAACACAATTAGTTCTTTTTGTAACCACGACAGTGAAAAAAAAAAGGTTTGTCAGCTTAATTCTCTAAATAATTGTTAAAGCGAATTTGCTCCCACTTTTCCCCTAATTTATGAACTAAAGAATATACCCACAAAAGGAGGCAATTATACTGCACAAAAGGTGGGCATGTAAAAGATAACATTAATGATTTTTTAATTAAGGAACAAAAATTGATTGAATCTTCCTTGATACATGCAAAACCTCTTCTTCTTCTTTTATACCCACTTTCTCCATTTCTTTCCCATGATTTAAACAAGACTAATCTACATCTTTAAGATGATATATACCAAGCCTAAGATTATAAATATCGTAACCACTGTTTGTATTTAGATTTTTTTTAACCTGCTTCCAATGGAGGCAAAGAGGTTGCAGATAATCTTGTCTTCTTCCTCAGTGAAATCTCCATGTCTTATGTTTGGTCTCAAATAGTTCAGCCATCTCAGTCTGCAACTCTTCCCACATCTCCTTAAACCTTTAGTCATCATTTTATAAAAAGATGCAAAAGAAAATCAGTGAATACTGAAGACCCATCAAAGGAGAAAAAAAACTAAAAAAATAACCCATAAAAAAATTCCAAGAAACCCATTCACTTCATGAAATATGAACATACCAGCTTTTTGAGGAAGAGCAATCCAATTTCCACCAGTGCCTTGATTCTCTATGTAATCTTTAAGCTTTGCATCTTCTTCAGGAGACCATGGACCTCTCTTCACATTTGCCTTGTCACAACATGGAGCCCTCCCCATCTCTCTCCCTCTCTTGCTCCTTGTTAATCTATGTGTTTTGCTTGAGGGAATTTTATTTTGTTTTTAGAAAGAGAAGAAGAGAAAGAAAAAAAGTGTTCTCTGGCTCTGTAATTATCAAAGATAAAGACATCTATTTATTGCTACATGTATTGGAAACGCCCAAGTCAATGAAAAACCTATTTTCTATTTTCTTTCCATTATGCTTTTCCTCATCTCCCCATGTGGATTAACTTCACTCTAATAATATATAAAAAAAATATTAAATGGGTTTTTGGTCACCAAAGCAAAACAAGAACAGCTGGTCTAAGTTGTGAATAGTGGAGAACAAAATTTAAAAAGAACAATTTTAGTTCTTCGGTATTGCTTCAGTGCTCTTTTATTTTATTTTATTTTAAGAAACTGGACAAATGGTTTGTAGGAAGAAAACAAATTGGACAAATGGTTTAAAGTTTTCTTTGATGTCCCCATTACGATTGAACTTACGTGTTTGTCTGTCTATTAAACAGACCAAACAACAACCGTTTATATCGAGCGATTTTTTCCCCGGTTTTTGTCTGCATTGAATTAAACCGAATCACACCAACCAGAACCAGCATAAATTACAATTTTACTTCTGCAGGTTCAGGATTAGTAATTACTACCACTCATATATGTATGACGTATGCACTGAATAACCTTTATTTCTAAAATGGTTCATGAGAGTCAAACATTTATGGTATTAATTTTCTTGCTACTACCAATAAAAAAAAAGAAAGAAGTAGCTCATGGACTGCCCGAAGGTAGTGACTAGTGATAAGAAGAAAAAAACCAAAGCAATAAAATAAAATAAATTTAAAGGAAAAGTTGACATTAAACCAAAAATTAGAGAAAGCATGAAAGTGACGTGTACATATTTTCCAAAAAACCAAGTGAAATGTTTGACTATGTCATTCCCCACAAGACATTGTCAAAGTGATTGATCCCGAGGCAACCACAGTACCTACATTTATTCTTATGAGAAGAATATATGTATATATGTGATATAGTAACGCAGACATTTATTGTTTGCATACAGAGACGTATATCTATACACTGGCAAATTTTGTATTTTTGAATTTGATGGGCCACCGGTTAAAGTTGGTAAGTTGGTGTGGCACTTTTCAAAACAACATTTAAGAGGCTTTCCGAGAAGTGTATACAGTAAATGGTTTTTTGGCGTTTTATTTATTAGAGTGAAGTTAATCCATTAGTGTATCTGTTTTCTGTGGAAACATACGTAAAATGATATTGACATTAGTGTATCTGTTTTCTGTGGAAACATACGTACAACTATATATTAACACTAAAAAATAAATACTGATTCTCGAAAACTTTGAGCAGATAAGAATTGATGGCTGAAACTAACCTAGAGCGATAACATGTCTAAGCTAAAAATCGTTGATAATTATCATCAATCTCATTATTGATAATTTTAATGAAACCTTAATTGATATCTATAAAAGTTTATGTAACCTTATAGTGCCCATGACGTTTTAGTTGACCTTCTTGTATGTCTTCGTTGTGAGTTCATATAACTATTCTTTTTCTCAAATCTAATGCTTAAGCTCTTATGTAGTGATCAAAAACTCGTTTAACTTGAACATGAACCGACCCTCATCCGCCGCAACTATAGGTATGCTTTAAAAAAGTTGTGAGAAAACTCAGTTGTATAGAGTTTGAGATTAAACATCAAGTGCACTTTTAACTATTTCTTTTTTTGTTAAAGGGTTTTCATTAATAAAAAGTTAACCATACAAAAGATGAAAAGATAACAAAAGACAGAAAAATTAGAAGGGGAAGAGATTAAGTTTTGGCTTAATCTAGTGAAAGCTTTTAGGACAACTAAAGACCGAAAGAGAATGACATAAGACAACAGGAAGAGAACCCTTAGTTGATGGATCGATGACCGTCACACCCTCGACGACCCCAACTTTTTGACCTTTGCATCTCTTGCTTCTATTCAGAAGGCTTTAATCTTCTAACTTTGTAAGATCTCTGAGGACCCCATTTTTATCAAATAGATCACTTTTAACTCTGTACATCAAGTGCACTTAAAAGTCATGCTTTAAGCAAAAATTGTTTACATCATTGTTTATAGGATTAAAACAACAAAAAAAGAATTGAAATGTGAACATGACTATGACTTGGTTATATTTTCTGAAATATATTAGTAGACAGGTCGATAAAGACCGATTAATTCTACAAGTAATAACAGTGTATCCATTGCAACGAATTCTTATATATTGTTAACATTTTCATGATTTTTCAGTGACTTCATGGTTATACCGAGAGGTCGAAATAATATACTGTACACTACTATTTAAATAACCTATATAAATATTGAAATGGAGTCCCTACCTGAAAAGATTTTTCAGTGATTTCATGGTTATACCGAGAGGTCGAAATCTATCTGCAATGATATTTTATTAAACAGATCTAATAATTGATAAAGGGGTTTCTATCATAATTTTCCACTCAAATAGGTGCATATCACTTGAACGTAGACGTGTAATGGAAAATCTCCTTGAGATGTTAACCGGTACGAATTATTGACATGTAAACAATTTAATATAGTAATAGTAGTCGTACTATATATGTAGGAATGAACAAACTAGACAATAAAAACAGTTTACTATGACTGCTTATACAGTAGAAATGTAGAATTATACCGTGGCCAAGTCAAAGAAATAGAAAATCTCTATTTGATTGTTGAAATTCAGAGAATTGATTTGAAACTCTCTTAAAACTTAAAAGAAAAGCTTTGTATAGATGGCCACAAATTTATGTTTTGAAACCATTTGGACCAATTTAGTTCAATCCATAATGAAATAGTGCAATGCCCTATTAAACTCTCAAAATTTCGATGAATCGCATACAGATATTTTTGGTATTCAAACATCGGATTTAACTCAAGAGCAATACGTATTTATCCATATGAGCAAAAATATTAACAAAACACTTTAGAGTCTAACAAAACACTTTAAACACTTAATATTTTTGGTATCCAAATCCTCTAATCTCTATAATCAAATTGAGCTTGTTCAATTTATTTTATACTCCTCGAATATAAAAATTTTGCAAAGATAAACGAATGGGACATCCGGACATGGGAGCGTGTTGAGACCACGCGAAAAAGGGTAAAACGACAACGTTTTAAGGTAACCTCGTGTCACTTTCTTCGCCTTTTCTTCCAATTCCCAGACTATCTCCTTCTGTTTACTACTTCCCTCACACTTTACCAACACAAACTCAGACTTACACTCAGCTTAGCTCTCTTCTCCAATGGCTGCCATTACCGGATCCTTCGCTGTCTCAAGCTCTATTTGTCCACCTCCATCACTTCCGGCATCTCCTTTACTCAATTCCTCTCCTTGTCTCTCCAGATTCACCAATGCATCTCCGTTTCCCGCGCTCTCTGCCTCTCGCCGGAGAAGGATCCCGTTGATTCCGGCGTGTTCTTCGATAAGCGACGGAGATGAATCGGTTGAAGTAAGAGATGGTGATGATGAGATTAAAGAGACATTGATGCTATCAGTCTCTCCTCTGCCTCTCCTCCTCGTTGCTTCTCTCCCTGGAGGTAAACAACACACACAAACATCTCAGCTTCAATTTATAGATATTAAGCAACCATTGGTGGAGAAAACGTGCAATTGGTTTATTCATCAGTTATATGAAAGCTATAATTAATCAAAACTGTGGCTTTGTGAGACATGTTGAATCCAAATCCAAATTTTTTTTCTCAGATCATTTCTCTAGTTAACAAACATGATTTTGTTAATCTATCTCTCTTTTTGTGGCAGCTGCAACTGTAAGATCTGTTATTGGACCCTTTGTGGAGATTGTAAAATCCTTGAATCTTCCTGACTGGCTTGTTCATTGGGGTCATCCAGGGAACATGGTAGCTTCCTCCTCCATTACTAGTTTCATTGCTTCTTTTACTTTTGCCTCCTGCGCAAGATTCCACAAACTATTCTTGTAAAAACCACTTCTTTTTCGACATAGAACACATGTCATGGTTCTGCCGTTGAACTTGTTCTTGTTTTGTCTATAAGCTCATTTTTTTTCTGTTTTCTCTCAGGCAGTGGTGCTTTTTGCAATGGGTGGCTATGGAACATATCTAGGCTTCCGGATTCGTTATTCAGATGACATTGTAAGACATTTCAACTTAACAAGCTAGCTATAATATTACAAGAACCGTTGTTGTTTAGAGAGGCGTTTTGTTTTGTTTTGTTTCTGTTAGGAGGAGAAGGCAAAGGCAAAAGACCTTCACCCGAAGCTTCTAGCCGGAATGTTCTTCTTTTTCGCCGCTGGAGCAACTGGTGGTATCACATCCCTTCTTACCTCCGACAAACCCATCTTCGAAAGGTATCTTTTTTCTTCTTACATAACACTAAAACTCTCATCTACTGATTCAAAACTTGGTTACAACTTACAAGAAGAAAGATATGTGTTTGCACAGAGATTATGAGTTTTTATATACACTGGGCTAATATTGTTACGGATTTGTGCAATGTATAGCCCGCACGCTGTTTCAGGATTCATAGGTCTTGCTCTCTTGACGATTCAAACAGTCTTACCATCTTTGTTCAAGGTAAAGTATAGTACATTGCAGAACTTTCTGGTCTAAAACCTTACTGATTTATGATCAAGAAACTTGCTGTTTCAAAAATTGTGCAGGACAAACCGGAGCTGAGGAGCGTGCACGGGATTCTCGGGAGTGGGATAATGACGCTATTCGTCGTCCATGCTGCTCTTGGCCTCCAGCTCGGTCTTAGTTACTGACTACACTCTTTACTCATATATCTTCCCTTGTATTTGTATTCTTCAGCTGCAAAAAATGAGCCATTTTTCTTTAGTTTCTTATAATTTTTATCCCTAAAACATCTTAAATTCTAGTAAGAGAAGCTTTATTTAGAGGCACATAAAGCTTGTAGAAAATAATGTGATATTTTTGTTTATAGATATTTGTTTTTCTTGTCGTATTTATTGGATGCTCATAATATTTTTTGGTTTTCTTTTCCATCCATATTTTGTACTTCCAAGCCAAACTTAAGGGAAACAAACTAGTTTTTGTCACTTTCAAAAATATTTAGTTGTTTGAGTTTAAGTTATGAAATAATGAGGTTTAGATACCAAAAATTAAATCAAACACTACCACCAACTACATACCACCTAAAAATGAAAAAAGAAATCAATGTTAGAGATTTTTTCTGTTTTGGAGAATCTAAACCACTCCTTGATACAACCAGGCTCCATGTGTTATCCGGAGTATCCGGTTATGAATTACACGTATGATCCGATGTCGATATCGGATCGGGTCGGGTAAACCGTAAACGTTGGGTGCTCTTCTCACCAACCGCACACCACACCAACGACAACGAGGTTGGTGAGATTACCATTTGCGTACATCTAACCGTCCATTTTCTATTCATTCGAGATCAACGGTGTAAAACCATTATTTTCACTGTACACCCGAAACACGTGATCACAGCTTCGCCAACAATATAAACCGAAGAGAGGAGATGCACGAGAAGAGCGGGCAAACACAGAGCGAGTCTAACTCCGAGTTAAGGGCCGAGTTTCACTCTCTCTCTCTCTCTCACTTTCTCAATATATCTCTCTCTTCTCTCGTTTCGTTAGCTTTCTCTGCTCTTCTCTCTCTCTCTCATTTTTCATTTCTCCTCCAGATCTCGAATCCCTCTACTTCGCTAACAGGTTTGTTTTCTTCGTCCTCGATCCAATTTTTTTTGTTTGTTTGTTAGTTGGAGAAATCCTCCGATCCATTGTTGCTATTTCTTCATCAGATCTAGGTTGGTAGCTTATATGTTCTACGTAATCACTCACTCGATTTCGCGATTTCGAATCCTCGGTCTGTAGAGATAGATCTGACCAATCGAAGTTGATTAGATCTTCAAATCCGGTCTGGGTTGATGGATTTCGATTTGATAACCGGAAAATTTCGGAATCATTTTGCAGTATAGTGACGAGTTTTCTTCTTGCTCAATTGTGTCGGTGGAAACTAGAAACTATTTACTGTTGGTAAAATTTGTGATTTTCTACTTTCTCTTGTTGATTCGGAGTAAAAATAGTAATTTTCTTCTGTGTGAATCCAGAAAAATGGAGACGTTCCTATTCACATCTGAATCCGTCAACGAAGGTCACCCAGACAAGCTCTGCGACCAAGTTTCCGACGCGATCCTCGACGCCTGCTTAGAGCAAGACCCCGAGAGCAAAGTCGCCTGCGAGACATGCACCAAGACCAACATGGTGATGGTGTTCGGCGAGATCACAACCTCCGCGAAAGTAGACTACGAGAAGATCGTCAGATCCACTTGCAGGGAGATTGGTTTCATCTCCGCTGATGTTGGCCTCGACGCCGACAAATGCAACGTCTTGGTCAACATTGAGCAACAGAGCCCCGACATTGCTCAGGGAGTCCACGGTCATTTGACCAAGAAGCCTGAAGACATCGGAGCTGGTGACCAGGGACATATGTTCGGTTACGCCACCGATGAGACACCTGAGCTCATGCCGTTGACTCATGTCCTCGCCACCAAGCTTGGTGCCAAGCTCACTGAAGTGAGGAAGAACAAGACTTGCCCTTGGTTGAGGCCTGACGGTAAGACTCAGGTCACCGTCGAGTACAAGAACGACGGTGGAGCTATGATTCCGATCAGAGTCCACACCGTTCTCATCTCGACTCAGCACGACGAAACCGTCACCAACGACGAGATCGCTGCTGACTTGAAAGAGCATGTGATCAAGCCTGTGATCCCTGCTAAGTACCTTGACGACAAGACCATCTTCCACTTGAACCCGTCTGGTCGTTTCGTCATCGGAGGACCTCACGGTGACGCTGGACTCACCGGGAGGAAGATCATCATCGACACTTACGGTGGTTGGGGAGCTCACGGAGGAGGTGCTTTCTCAGGGAAGGACCCGACCAAGGTCGACAGAAGCGGTGCTTACATCGTCAGGCAGGCTGCTAAGAGCGTGGTCGCAGCAGGACTCGCACGCCGCTGTATCGTCCAGGTGTCATACGCCATTGGTGTCCCTGAGCCGCTCTCGGTGTTTGTTGACACGTACAAGACCGGGACCATCCCGGACAAGGAGATCCTTGTGTTGATCAAGGAAGCTTTTGACTTCAGGCCAGGGATGATGGCGATTAACCTCGACTTGAAGAGAGGAGGTAACTTCAGGTTCCAGAAAACCGCTGCGTATGGACATTTCGGGCGTGACGACCCTGACTTCACCTGGGAGGTGATCAAGCCACTCAAGCCAAAGGCTTGAAGGAAAAAGCAATTGCAAGAAGTGAGTTGGAGACACACTCCTCTCTCTCTCTCTCTCCCTATTATTGGGAACTTATCGTTTATACCGTTATTTGAATAATATTTCCCATACATTTTTACATTTTGTTTTTTTTTGCTGCCATTTGGAGTTCGAGGACTAGGCCATTGGTTTCAAGTATCTGGTAAACGAAGGTATCGAACGGAGGATTTGAGTTTTTTTTCATGTTTTTAATCTTTTCTGCCTTTTTTTCTTCTTCTTCTTAATCTCTTGTATTGTAATTTTGATTGTGTAAGCAAGAAATCCATCATTATCATTATGTGCAAAATGAGCAATCTTTGAAGTGGTAAAAATAGAGAAACATAAATGAACAGAAGAAGTAAAAATATATATCGAAGAAAATAAACAATTAGTAACTTAGAGATTTGGAAGAGTTGATGTGGTGAAGAATCAAGAGTTTGCAGAAGTTTTAAAACCGGCAGAGAAATTTGAAACTGGTTTCCAAATTCCAATTTAATTGTTTTGGTTTGGTACTCTGAATTTTGATTTTCACGTCACTCTGAACAAGATAGAGTGACGTGACGCTGGTTAAGCTAACATTAGAGATAGATCCTAGAGGTCATGGAACGAGCTGTCGTGAATATCCAAAACAAGTGTCTCTTCCAGTGCTAAAGAGTCTCTCTCTCTCCATGGAGTTTCGTTTATAGTCCAAAAGTTGTACATTGTGATGCTTCCAGGTTGTTCATTACTTGAAGAATTATCCCTAAATTACTTATTCAGTGGGTTAAGAAATTCTGGAAAGTTTTCTATATCCCACCAAACCGTCAGGAGACTCACACAGTTATCATGAAAAGTCTTGACTACTTACCTTGCAACATGGAATACAACACACCGAGTCTTGTTTAATTGGACTACACTGGGAAAGCTCCTTGGCTGGTTCAACTGCCAATTTCTTGGATTCCCTTCTTGAAGCAAAACTAAATATCCAACCCCAGTCGAGATATGCTCTTCACAGTGAGCTACCTACAATCATTAAGTGGATATGCAACGTTAAGACCCTTTCTCTCTCTTCTGATACTGTTGAAGAAACTACTCACCAAACGTCTTCTTGATCTTCGTGACCGTTAATCTAAACTCCAAATCCAGCTCTTGCGATATACACATCCCCTCCTAGCTTTATTACTTGGCTTAAGATAATTTTTAGTAACCAAACTAGCTACCTAGTAAGAGTCACTCTGATTCAGATTTCTTTGGTTTCGGTTTGTATTCAGCCTTCAGTTTTAAGTTTATCTAAAACTATTTACCTAATTTAAGGGGGGGGTTTTTTTTATAATAATTTTAAGCTTACAAGACAATATTTTGGAAACGGTATTGTATATTGATGTCTTGGAATAAAGGATTTTCAGTGTTAAAAAAAAAGATTACAACACAAAGTAGTAGATACAACATCAAATCTTTGAAATGATGTGCTTTTTCGTATTAATCAATTTCTCATATTCATATGTAAATGATTGATTAATCAATATGCTTTTTCGTATTAATTTATAAATTTGTTCCATATAAAACCACTGGACTGCTGGACACATTATTTTTAATATACATGAATTTGACATGGAAGGGTCCTCATATATATGACAGCCTCATAAAACACATTCAGAAATCTTCAAATAAATTCTTATAATTTTCTAGGTAACAATCTAGCTAATCAAATGCATAATTAAATTTTGAATCAGCTATAGTAATCTAAATCAATATGTAACACCAAGTGAAGTTATATTGTTTTAAGATGAATTAACAAATTTATACCAAAGAACATATATACGAGTTTCGAAAAGTATTGTAGTTGATTCAAACAACTCGAAGATTAAAACATCTAACGAGTAACGAATGTCGAAACGTGCATGCACCCTAAAAGTATTTTCATGGGTTCAGTCATGTCACGAATTTGAGATTTGAGTAATCCTTGCATTCAAGATTTGTGAGTCATATGAATCAAAACAAGTTCTGCTGGAAATAAAACATAATGAGAATCACTGAATCAGAAACAGAGTAAAACAACAACAACAACAAAAGATTGAAGGCTACTCTGGTTCCAACAATAAAGAAGTACTTTTAAGATATTACGGAGGTGAGGCTGTACATAATGTCTGATAAAGCTACTCTGGTTCCAAACATGTTCTTGATCAATCGTGTAAATTACGGTATCCATTCATTTCTTTCTTTCCCCACATGATACACCGATTAGACTATTTCTGTCTAAATTTCTTTTATCAGATAATTTATAAATTTTGGAAGTGTGTATGAGTTTTTGAGTAATAATTTTTCACCTACCAATCATTATGTGTAGCTTGGAGTTTATATTGGACTATATGGAAAAATATATTTAAATTGTAGATAAAAATATAATATGAAATGGATTCGATTAGAAAGCCATCGATCACTCAACTCAATAGTTTTGTCGTGTCGCATGCATTGTGGTGCAAGCATCCAAAGTCTCATAAATTATATATCAAAACTAACATGACATAACACGCTCTTCAATTATGTGCTCATATCTAAATGAATCTCCTATATGTTATTTATATAATATGCATACAAGTGAGTGTAGATCAAGACACTCTCAGAGCCCCACGTACGCTACACACCATACTTTAATAAATAGCTTATAATAATTTTGTAAATACAATATACGTACATATATGTTTACAAAAAAACTCGAAAATAATATTCATACACGTCCAAATAACCTTTTTGGGGGTTTAACACGTCCACATGACCTTATTTGGCAGTATTTATAATTCCTATAGTCGTATCTACCAATATCTCTTCCTAGATGATAATTGTTGCAAATGTTGTCGTTATGGCATAATCAGTATTTTGAACAAAAAATAATTTGTTTAAGAGACAACGGTCAAGACGGCCAGAGAATAAGCTAAGCAGTAAGAGATTTATGAGTCCATTCCGTATCAGAACAGTTTTAGTCATCTCCATAAGTTTGTCTATACTCATGAATTTTGACAAAAACAAATCTTTATGGAGAATAATAGACTAGGGGCATGTTCGTTTGTGTAACTGGATTACTCAAATATTATTTGACTGCATTACTCAAAAGTTGTTTATTTCTAATTTTGGTTTCTACATCATTGATTTAGGACATCGAAAGCGAACGCAACAAAAATACTATCAATTTTGATAATGCCCTGTTTGTTTATTTATTTTCACAAATCCTTGTCTTGTTTTTTTGTTTTTCTGACAATTAATAATATGAACCAGAAAAATCAGAATTTCCTGTTTGGCAATTCACATAGTGGGAATTCAAACTCACTTAAGCAGGAATCGAAACAAGGATAATAAATACAGTTGGATAAATCATAAATCCATATATTCCTGTCAGTTTAGTCAAAGGTGCCAATAGAAGAAAAAAAGATGTTGAATGAAGCATTCTTCTTTTATTTGTGTCGTTGAAATTTCACCATATATATATACTCTTTCAACTAAAATGAACAACTGAAAATAGACAGATTTTAAAAGAAGATAACAAAAAGAAAGAAAATGGAAAAGAAAAGATTTATTCACTATATTGAAGAGAAAGTATAATAATTTTGTTTCCTGTCGTTCACATTTCATTTATCAATTTTAGTTTCATTCTTTAAATCAGGTTTGAACGTTAGGTGGGAAATAACCTATAACAACAAATACATAGAAATGTTCATAACGTCGGTGTATAATCTAAACACAAACGCATGTTTACGATGACTTCTGCCTAAGAATGCTAAAATCAAAGAAGCAACGATATGCATGCACAATATAACTAATTTGCAATGTAATCTGGATACGAAATGATTCAAATCAAATAAGCAAATTAATACCAATGAAGTTGGTTTTGTTAACAGAAAATGGCTAATGAACTAATGAAGTTGGTTTTCTTTTTGTCGGTCAGATTGGGTCCCGCAACCGTCGATTATCATTTATCAAGACTCAAATCACCGTTACCGACAAAAATAGTGAAAGCTTATTTCTTATTTTTTTTCTATTATTTTGTTTCTCATGATAATTGTTCATTTAATTCGAAATAAAATATAATTTATTATGAATTTCAGCATTTTTCGGGACATCTGCTCAGTTTAATTTGTTTTCAACAATATAAAAAGTAATAATTTGTGACCATGTAGGCACTACATTTTTAAAAAAGCATGCACCTTTAGAAACTTGCATAACAACCAGTCAATCGGAGTCGATATTTCTGAGATGTAAAGGCAATGTTTAAGGTTGCTTCATATCTCCTGCAAAAAAAAAGCCCTACGTTCATGTCGATAAAGCGGATGTATCAGATTCAAAACTAATCACTATAGTTAATAATTTAGTCCAACTGTTTAATTCCCTACACTATTTTGGGCAAGCTTATTACGTTCGGAATTTGGGGTCACAACTTTTGTAAAAGAATGATGTGATTAATTAAAAAATGTAGCAATAGATATATATAGTAGGGCGTACATACACTATTTGTGTTGCTAAAAATATTTTTGTAATATGTTTTGATATTTCGTATTTTATTATATATACTTTTCAGTAAGTATTCATTTTTAAAAATTGTCACAAAAATTACTTCTGCGTTTCTAAATTCAAGGCATCCGCTTCTAGTTTTATGCTACATGTTTTTTTTCTCCTTTTCCAGCATAATCATGCAGAAATATTTTCTCATTTTCTTTACTCTGACGGAAAGAATTTGAGAGGGATCCAGCTGAGACTTTTTCCAGCTATTTTCTTTTACTTTAGCAATGACAAACAGTAAAGACCATGTGTAATATTTTGACATTTTATGATTTATGTATATCAAATAGTTTTACGCTAGGACTAGAAACATACGTTGTAATTCTCAGTCTAGAAACAAAATCATATCGTATATTTGACTTCTTTACAAATATTTATGATTTGACGTACAAATGAAAGAAAAAGACATAAAATAATAGACAAAAAGTTCTGTAAACTAAAACTAATACTTTCACGAAATCTAAAAACAAAAAATATATATTTACGACCACAGTATCCGTACCTTTTGTCCTAAACAGATTATTTGATCTCATAAAATAAACAAAATTGTGTTAAAAGTAAAACTTGTTAAAAGAATTGAGAAATGAAGTAGAAAATAATTAGCAAAAATAACACTTAGAACTTAAGAAGAAAAAGTTGTGTCTGTTTTTTTGGTTTGTTAAAGGGCTTTAAATTGTGTATATTTTAAAAAATAAAACTACACACTATATCTGGCATATAAATATTTAAAGAAATTGAATGGGATAAAAAAAAATCAAGAAGTAAAGTTAAGTGACACTAATTAAGTTTTGGAAAGCGATAACATAAAGCGATGTTATTGCTTCGTGTTTACTTATCTGGCACGGACGGAAGTGAAAAGATGATAGTACAGAATGAATGGTACCACCATATTAAATTTGTATTAATATTGCTTACTACTGTTTCACACTGTTTTTAACTGTATTGTCATTTTTACTGCAATCTTGTACCATCAAAAAATAAAATAAAACTGGCTTTTGTCACCAATAGGATCCTTATCTATATTTTTTGTAAGTACAATAATGAAACTTTGCTTATAGAGATACCCATTGAATGCATTAAAACACACTTTTATGAAACACGCATCTACCATTTTCTTGGCTCTGTCATAATAACTATCTTCTATTACCATCGCACTATGTGCACAAGTTTTTCTTTATAAATATTTACGATCACCTATGATGTAACTTGAAGGGAAAAACAAAATTGATGCAATTTTATTATAAAGTATACATAAGTCTCGTATTAATGTTATTGTCACCTATTACATCATTATAATATATTACTTTTAACGGATCCTCGATGGACAGATCTCTCAGCAGCATGTTTATGGTGGGCAATTTATCTTGACACATGTGTTCATGAGATATATTCCGATTAATCATCCCAAATTTACACATTCCAATGAATACATTTCCTATTTTCTCTAAACCCTAATACGAATTAGATTAACACAATATCTTGGAGATTCGAAGTTTTAACTTATTCTGCTCGTCGCGAATCTTTCTACGTATACAAAAAGCTCGAGTGTAAAAATATCCCCTTCAAAGTTCCACTTTTAATTCTCCTTTAAAAAGCCACGATCACCCTTACAAAGAAACTAGTGATTTAGAGTTGTAATGAAGAAATATGATAACTATAAATGAACCACCGCCACTACGCGGTCTCAACAAGGTAATATTTATCACTGTTCTGTAAACATGGCCAAATATGTACTAGAAAACCAAACGAAATCTGAAGATTTTTTTTGTTTAATGAAAGATTTTTATTTCTGGGATTCAATCAATTGTTTTCTTGGTCATCACCGTAATAGATTTCCACCATATCACTTCATCTTGTAATATATTACAATCAAAGCTAAATGAGAAGGAAAAAAAAAGATTATAAAACTGGTAGTGTATCAACGTATGGTTGAAGTCTAGACTAGGCCGTGTTAATCGGTGTTGAAACTACTTGTCCTTGCATCGGTCAATTTGTGTGAATGTGATCTTAACCTAAGATTTTTCATAAACTTATAGCATGTAAGTATATCTCACGAGAGCAACGTAATAATGCTAGTGAGTAGTGATGTTCTTTTATATTTAGACCGTTTAAGAGTCTTAGGTGAGTGGACCACCCATTTTCATTATGTATTTTTGTGGGTGGGTCCAAATAGTGAGGACCCATTTCATTTCCAATTTCCATCATAAACGCTTATAATATATGCCATACTCTTGTCCATCCATCGATCCACATCATCTAACTCTCTCTCTCTGCATTTATATACTCCACTCTTCCTCTGTCCACTCCCCACAAAAGAAGAAAACCAAAAAATGGGTAATTCTCTGATCTCTCTTCTCCCAATCTTCCACTTGTTGGTGTTATTAGGATCATCAGTGAATGCTTATTGGCCACCATCACCTGGTTATTGGCCAAGCTCCAAGGTTGGCTCCTTGAGCTTCTTCAAAGGTTTTAAGAATCTTTGGGGTCCTCAGCATCAGAGAATGGACCAAAATGCCCTCACCATCTGGCTTGATAGAACTTCGGGTAGTAATTCAACTCCACTTCTCATATTCTCATGTGGTTATAGATTTGATCTAAACTTTATTTCTTTCTGCTCCTAATGTATTTGGGGTTTATATAAATAGGGAGTGGGTTCAAGTCAGTGAAGCCATTCAGATCAGGCTACTTTGGAGCAAACATCAAACTCCAACCTGGTTACACTGCTGGGGTCATCACATCTCTCTACGTGAGAGCCAGATACTCTTAATTAAGCATTTATTTTTCTAATTACGTTTAGTGAACTTAATAAAACTTATTAACGATTAATTTGCAGCTATCTAATAGTGAGGCACATCCAGGATTCCATGATGAGGTGGACATAGAATTTTTGGGGACAACATTTGGGAAGCCTTACACACTTCAGACAAATGTGTACATCAGAGGAAGTGGTGATAACAAAATCATTGGTCGTGAGATGAAGTTTCGCTTGTGGTTTGATCCCACTTCAGGATTTCACCATTACGCTATTCTTTGGAACCCTAGAGAAATCATGTAAGCCTTCACTTGTCTCACACAAAATAATGTTAGATTTTTTATTTTATTTTTGGGGTTGAATATAACCCCTTAAAAGTTAGTGTAGTAATACAAGATTCGTGTTCGAAGAGAAAATAGTATTATTTTATTTTGTTTTTTTGGCCGCGGATCTAAGTGGATGTGTCTAGAGCCATATAGTAAGCAAAAAATAGTTATCATTTTTTTGTGTGTGTGTGTGTGGTAAATGGAAATATCTTCTGTAGGGTTGCATTATTCGAGCAATGAGAGATATGATTAGAGACAAACAAGAAAGAGACAATGACCATACGACGGTGGACAAATTATACTTCATTTTTTGTTTTTTTAATAAGTATTTAATGATTTTCTCATGTTATTCGTTTCGGGGTCTAACCAAGTGCCAGCTTTACTAATTCGTTTTATAAGTCATTTAACCAAGTATGTGTCCTTTAAGTCTATGAGGTATGACCACATACAATGGGACATACAGAATCTACCTACTATTTAAAGCATTTAATACATAGAAAAATATAAAAATCACTCTTACACTTTTCTCCTAGTGTTACTATATAAAAATCATAGATACTACTAAATCAAATTTTAAACTAATATTGTTATTTTCTTCGTTTGTAATTTCAGATTTCTGGTGGATGATATTCCCATAAGAAGATACCCAAAGAAGAGTGCGGCTACATTTCCTTTAAGACCAATGTGGCTTTATGGTTCCATATGGGACGCTTCTTCTTGGGCAACCGAAGATGGTAAATACAAAGCCGACTATAAATATCAACCTTTTACTGCCCAATACACCAATTTTAAAGCGATGGGTTGCACGGCCTACTCATCAGCACGGTGCCATCCGCTCTCGGCTTCACCATACCGTTCTGGCGGGTTAACTGGACAGCAATACCAAGCCATGAGATGGGTTCAAACACATAATATGGTATACAATTATTGCAAAGATTATAAGCGTGACCATTCTCTAACGCCGGAATGTTGGCGTTAGGACAAAAAAACTGAGGAAAGTCCCAAAGTTTGAGAATTTTAATTTAAGTAAAGAAAGTACCACAAAAAGATTGGGAAAGTTTTGGGATTTTTTTAATACTATTATATTATTACGTGGTCGTTTGTTTCACGAAAATAAGGTTTTGCGTTTGGGTTGCGTTTTGCTTATCATCTTGTCTACTGTAAATGTTTCCAACATCATAATCTTTGCCAAAGGTGTCTTTATAAACAAAGTTGTTTGAAATGTTGTTTCGTTATTCCATACCTGGTCATATTTATATCAGCAATTTATAATATCAGTTTACAATAAAATGGAGTGTAAAAGGCCACTAGATCAATGATAAAATTGAAGTCATCAAAAATAATACTCCTTCTGTTTCTTAATAAGTGTCATTTAAGCAAAATGTACTTGGACAATAATTGGATGTATCTGGACAATAATAATTGTTATTTTGAGTTAATACATTCGAATTTTCATTTTGCTTAAATGACACTTATTATAAAACAGAAGGAGTAAATAACTAGTACTCCCTCCGTTTCAAATTAGTTGTCGTTTTGGCAAAATGTATCTGCAAATATTTGGACGTATCTGGACGTGTTTTGCATTGCAGATACATCCAAATAATTGCAGATACATTTTACCAAAACGACAACTAATTTGCAGATACGTAACTTTTGGTTTAAACAATTTATCTCATAAGTTTGCATGGTAGTTAATTCTGTTGACTCTGTTATTCTAATCTGAATTTGTTCTAGAATAGGGTCATTCTCGAGTAAGCAGTATGATAATGACAAAGGCTAAAAGCTCACACTGGCGTAGATCGGTGGGAAAAGCCCTCTGGAGTATATGCTGAGATTGCAGATGAAACCAACATTTAGTAATTAGGGAGAACAATCGACATAACTTCAAATGCATGTGTAAGAAATAAATGTCCGGACTAAAATGACAAGTCAAAGATTGCAACCGATCAAGATGAAAATAATAAATTCATAACATAAATTCGATTATTTCCAAACTTTTATTTATTTGCTTAAAATCATTTCAAATGCTCGGTTGAATACACTTCTTAAAAGATTTAATTCAAAATTAATGGTAACATGTATATACATTACTAAATGTGGCTTATCGGCACATTGACTTAGATAGTTTGATTTGGGACATGGACTGGTGTAGCACGATCGTTACTGCTCCCATTTTACCATTGGCTCTATGTGACTTAAGTGAATATGGTTCTGAAAACAGAAAATCAGCGAGTTTTACGTTTCAATTTTATTGATGAAAATAAATTTATAATCTTACCACATTTTTGTTTTTCCAAACCACCATCTTTATAATTTGATTTTTATGCAATTTTATTTTTCTTGGATGCCAAATGTTCTTATTTATGTATAATTGTTTTTGATCAAATCAATTTTCTATAATTTTATAATTTAAATTTGAGTTGTGATTAGGAATTAGACTTCATCATGAAGTCTAATACGCAGTAGACTTCATGAGTAGACTTTAAGCGGGGTAAAACAGACATTGTGGCTAGCGTTTTTTCTTTGTTCATAAGGGCGTGGTTTGTAATTTTACATGCCCAAAAGACTAGTTTTGCTCTAAATGCAATATATGGTCTAATTTTGCATTTCAAATCAAATTGTGCACTATATTTGGCAATTCTCCCGTAAATATATCTACACGTATTATTTTGTAACACAGTTTTTATTTTATGTGATATTTTTGGGAATTATATATTAATAAATGAAAAAGGGATGAATACGACTAAACAATGAAAGGGAGCATTCCATCCGAGTTTGGTAGATGCATACAAGACGATAGAAAACACCAAAAACATTCGTTTACAAAAATAGCCCACAAAGCATTACTGATCCATTCTTCTCTCATCATCCTTTGGTATTTTATGAGAACGTTGACATGCAATTATTTATTCTTGCTTTGTCAACATACAACTAGATCAATAAGAAAAACATTTTACTTTAAAGTTGCTTGATAATGATATGTTTGCAAATTTTACGGAAAGTTGCTGGATGTGGTTGTGTAATCTTGTAGATGTTCGATTATAGCTTCAGTTTTTTTTTTTAATTGTGGAAAATTATTTTTATAAAATCTAGGAACCTTAAGAAAATGGTATTAATCAGAAAAAGAAAAATCCCAAATGAATCGTTCTAGTGTCCTCACTGGTGGACCCAATTAACAAGAAAATTTATCCTCTAAATTAATTTCCAAAATACACTGTAGTGTGTAGAGTCCATCGCATGCAATTTGTGGAAGATCACCAATTCACCATGCATGTTAACTTTTACCAATGATTAGAAACGCTAATACTGTCGACGATACCAAAAATATGCAATTAATATAGAAGAGAAACAAACGAGAAACTAAGGCCTTTTGAGCTTCCACGTTGAAATGGTTTCGGTGGACATTGATGACTGATGAGTTTATGAGATCTGGAGATTATAGTGGGCTAGCTTTGTCTTTGAGTTTCGACAGACACTGTCTCCTTTTCAGCAAATGTCCTTTTCCATATTACGCTCTCTTTTTATGTTTTTTTTTGTTGTTTTCTTAATCTCATTGATTATTTCAAAAATAAATACCATCATACAATCTATTTTTTCACGTAGTTCTAGCTAATCAGCCCTTAGTGTAGTCATTTAATTTCTGAATGATTTATCTTATGGCCCATAATTTCAATCATTCAGAAATTACAATGCTATATACAGATTCTATTAGCATTCCACGTGATTACGAACCAAACCGAAAAGTATGCCTTTCGTCGAGATGATGTAGAAAATCCCGGTTGGTAATCCACCCATGAACGCGGTTGGGGAAGGAAGGTAAGAGCATGTGCATCGCTAAGCCTGAGGTAAAGCTCTGAAACATTTTTTTATTAATATTTTGTTTTTAAGAAAAATCATTTTTGTCACAAAAAATAAAGAAATAAATCAAAAGAAAAAGTTGACGAATTAAATGCTGACACATGGCGAGCTTCCCTCTCAGAGACGATTTTGTGAGCTGCTCTCCGAGAACCGGTTATACAAAAAATTGTGCCAACTCATATTTTTTTTCTTTTAATGCCAACTCAGCAATAGAACTCTATAGAAACTGTGCGATGCTGATGCCCTAAGAACCATCAATCAGACCAGAAACACGAGATTGAGAATGTTGAGGAACCTGAACTATTGATTACTGAGGAGGTAAAACAGATACATAATTCTAACCGGGAAGATGAAGAAAAAGCTGTGGGGAAAATTAAGACTGCATCCTTATCTAGATCATATTTTTCCATTTGAAAAAAGGTTACTTTTAGAAATAACAATTTTTAAACGCTGTCTAAAATATTATTAGTAACAATTATTCAATATTTATATCATAGTTATGTATTTACAGGGAGAATGAAAATTCCAAAAATATTCTATTGGTACTTAAACCATGTAACGCATGGATAGATGGACATCAAGAGAAAGGAACGATAACGAAAAAAACCGGAAATGATATTTTCAATAGGTTCTTAAACCGTATTGCATGGACAGATGGACATAAAGAAAGAAAACAATGTCCATATTTTAATTTTATTAGATATATAAATGTAAAAGTAACAAATCATCAATACCGACCTTAGCTCAGTTGGTAGAGCGGAAGACTGTAGTATTCGCAGATAAATCTTTAGGTCGCTGGTTCGATTCCGGCAGGTCGGAATTATTTTTTCGTTCATTAGTTTCTAAATTTTTGCCCCCTTAAATAGCTAGGGCCTTAATCATGGCCCGATAAATCAATATTTAGCCCAGAGAGATAGAGAATCTTAACGGTCAAGTTTAGAAAGTAGCAATCACGCGGTTTCAGATAAAAGACTTACGACGCCGTTTCCATCAGTCAGTCAAGCCGTGTTTTGACTCCGACGGTTATATTGTTAACCCCCGTCCCCGTAGTTGGAAAAGGCTCGAAACGGAAGGTCAATATCGTCATTTCGCTTCGAAATAAAGCGGACTCTCTCCATTTGTCAGATTTTTCTTTTTCTTTTTCTTTTTTTCTTTCATATCAGAAAAACCACTTCACGAAGGAATAATCATCGACTCGTTTTCAAAAATCCGCCATAGATCCGACACTACACCGATACATCCGGGTTCCAATCGTCACCAGCTCGGGTTTTCGCGTTGCAGCTTTTGATCATTCTTCGTCTCCGTCTTCTCCGTCTACTCTGCTTTGTGATGCTGTTTAGGGCTCAAGCTTGATTTGGGAAAAGTATTTGAATCCTCCTCTAAGGGTTTGAATATGGCTACGGTTTATAGCAATTGGGACAGGCTGGTTCGTGCCACCTTGAGGAGAGAGCAGTTGAGAACCTCAGGGCAAGCCCATGAGCGTGTCAACAGCGGACTTGCCGGAGCTGTTCCGCCATCACTTGGCCGAGCTACGAACATCGATGCCATCTTACAAGCTGCTGACGAGATTCAGTCTGAGGATCCTAATGTCGCCAGAATTCGTAAGTTTTCATTTTCATTTCTGTTTTTGAGGTTTGAAGTTTTCGGTGGGAGATTCATTGGTTTTAGTATCTTTCGATGCATTTACTGATTCATCTCTGGCTCTTTTTTTTTTCTTGACACTGTTTTCGTCTATTGTAGTATGTGAGCAAGCGTACTCGATGGCACAGAACTTGGACCCTAACAGTGACGGAAGAGGCGTTCTTCAGTTCAAAACCGGTTTGATGTCTGTGATTAAGGTATTTTTCGTCCTCTTGTTTGGTGTATGCTGGTCTAATTTGTCAATTCTTCTTTTCTCGCAAGCATAAATGGTTTTGGTCACAAGCATATAGATGTGTAAATTCGTCCTTAAGATATGTTTGTAGTATGATTTTTGCACTCTTGTTACCATTTGATGTTCTTTCTTGGGTTGCATTTTCTATGTCAAATGATATGTTTTCTGAATCGAAGGGGTTTAATTACTTTTGCAGCAAAAACTTGCCAAGAGAGATGGGGCTTCAATAGACCGCAATCGCGATATCG